GCCGGGGCCGCCCCCCCGCCGGCTTCCCCCGAGCCTTTCAATGCCGCGGGGGGGCTCCGGCGGGGGGGCAGCCCATGCGCGCCTGGGATGCCCCCCCGCCGGCTTCCCCCGAGGCTTTCAAAGCCACGGAGGGGCTCCGGCGGCGGGGCATCCGGCGTACAAGACGACCCCCGATTTTTGGGGGATGTTTTTTAACTTCAGAGGTCGTCTTGTACGCCGGAATATACGGTATCTCAAAATAAGCTATTCCATAAGAAATACTCTGAAATAGCTGATTTCGAAATAGCACGTTTACACTATAGAGAAGCCTCAAAATTAGTCGGAGGCAGGCTTCCCTAACGTGGATGAACTACCTCGACAGAGACCCTCAGAAGGCCCTGGGGAGTAATTACTTTGAATGGGCCCAGGGAGGAACTATTTCAAAATAGCAACAGTGGAGCGTCCACACTACAGCTATTTCGAAATAGCTATTTAGCAATAGGCGTTATTCCCTGTGGAATGAGGTTTACGGAAGTCAGAATAAGCCCTTTGTTATTTCAATTTTATTTCAAAATAACATTCGCTGTGTAGACGCTTGCGTTATTTTGAAATAACGGCTGTTATTCTGAAAATGCACCCTTATTTACCTTGGTGGCTATTCAATATTTCTTTGTCACAAGAAATAGAACTTTAATGAATTAACCTCAAGTTTGCTGTTTACCTTTGTCTGACTTAAAATTGAAAGACCTTTAAATTAATATAGTAACTTGGTTTAAATAGCTTCAGTATGGGGAAGCTTGCATCATTAGATGAATGTGGAAGCAGGGGACCAGATGGGTATGAGGTCTAGTCGGGGGTTATTTTTGTCCAGTAAAAAAAACCATGAAATATCAGACATAGTATTAAGAATCAGAGCTAGTTAAAAAAGGAGAAATCTGTGACTTCAAAAAAATCTTTTCCCCACACTTAGAAATATTCAGCAACAGTAGGTTTAATTTTGTTTTCCATAACCCTTTCAAAAAGTTGCTTGTGTTTCCTACTCCCTTTTCACAAACTGGTGGATAAGTTTTAAAGCTCCCTCCCCTCAGATAAAAATACAATCCAGGCTTGCTTCATCCCAATTAGGGATGTTAAGAAGCATGTAATTTGTTAATCATGTGATCAACAACAATTTTGTCAACTACCTGATTAATCGATAAGGGGTAGCACTGCCACCACTCAATTCTAGCTCCTGCCAGGTCCAGCAACTCCTCCCGCTGCAGCTCCAGTTGTATTGCAGAGCCGCAGTGCGGGATTGATGCTGGATCCCAGCACCAAGAATTGGCATGCAGGCAGACTGGCTCAGTCCTAACTCGTGCTGGGACCCAGCATCAACCCCCACTGTGGCTCTGCACTATACGCATTAGAGACTGGCAAGGGAGTTGATGCTGGGTCCCAATGCAAGCCAGGACTGAGCCAGCCTGCTAAAAAATGTACTTTCATGGAGGAGAGGGGGAGAAGAATGCTCTGTCCCCCCTGCTGGCCCCAGGCTCCATGCCAGGCTTCCTCTCTGAAATGCACAAGAGCCCCAGCAGGAACTCTTGTACATTTCAGAGGTGGAATGCCACTGCAGCAGCCTTGCCCCCTCTCAGGGAGCTAGAGGGAATGAGCTTTTAAGCCGGCTCCCCCAGCACCCCTCATCTCTCTCATCTCCCCCTTGCTACCTCCTTCTGATAGAGGCAGCAAAAGAGGGAAGCGACTAGTTGCTTATATCCCTACTGCAAATGAGAAGTAGCAGCAAGAACTGTAAAAAATGAGAAAAATCTCTATTTTTTTTTAAAGAAGACCATTAGACTGATTTTTGGCTACACCACACCTCTCATCATCACAACAACAAATGCAAGCTTTAAAGAGCTGTCAGCCTTGGGAGACCCCCCCCCCCCCATATTCAAGGGAAGAATTCACATTTCTCTCTGTCCCCAATATTTCAACTAACCCTTTAATGGTACGTATTTCAGTATCTTTTTTTTAAAAGTGTGTTCACATCAGAAAAATTCCCCTTTAGTCAACCTAACCTAAATACTAGCAAGAATGAATCTATGATGCAGGCAGACCTCCTTGCTTCCTATCAGCACTCAGAATGATTTTTAAACAGAAGAAGGTAGGAGAGAGGGGTCATGATTTGAGTCTAAAATTTTGAAAGATGCATGCGTGTGGTACAGCAAGTTCAAATGTTGAAATGTATTATTCAGAGTTCTCTACAACTGGTTTTCTAAAACAGCTAACAATTTCTACCTACAATGCAGAAAAACACTAATTTGTTTGATACCAAAGATTGTATAAATGTTATCACTAGTTGCTATACACTTTGTACTTACCTGTATCAAGCAATCCAAAGTACCCTTATACCCTGAATGTGTCCCATCTTGAAATCTTCTCTGATTGATCATCCGTGTCCTCACAACATCAAATTCCCCGCCGCCCGAGCCCCTCCGCGGCTTTGCAAAGCCTCGGGGGAAGCCGGCGGCGGGGCATCCCAGGCGCGCCTGGGATGTATACCCAGCGTACAAGACGACCCCCGATTTTTGGGGGATGTTTTTTAACATCAGAGGTCGTCTTGTACGCCGGAATATACGGTACTTGGCATTAAATAGCATTTAATGAACTTATCTTCTCACCTGTAACTACAGTCCAGGGTTTTCAAATTTGCAGTATTGGTCATATCCTAGCACGTCATGGACTGCCTCATAAGTCATTCATGATTATAGAAAATATGTGGTGATTACTCAAAATCTATGCATGAAAAATATTCACATTTCCATTAGGGATGTTAAAAACCATTTTTGTCAATGTGTACCCGCTAACATTTTCAGAGGGTACACATTTACTCAAGGGGGAGAATTGGCTTTGTGAGCACTAGCACTTGCCTTCCCCCTCGACACGTTGCTGCCTCCATTAGAGGCAGCAGTGCAGGGGGAGGGACAGGGATTATATGTAACTATGAAGGTTGACCAGTGAGCCCAGGCTCCTTGGTTAACTGTTCAACTGTTTAAACTGTCACATCCCATATTTCCATCTGTGGAGAACAGCTAATGGTTAGTCTTTGAAAAATGTAGTCAGTCTACTTTAGCTCTCCATTTAATCTCCAGTCTCAGTCTCTTGGTTATTCTGAACTTACTGTAAGATGAGCCACCGCCTTCCAGCTCTCTGCATACTACCAACAGCAGTCTCTAGTAGGGATGTTAAATTTAGATTAATTAACTAATCAAATAGTCGATGGGATTTCCATTGACTAGTCGATTAAGTTGATATGGGCGCCTCTGCCTTTGAACTGTAGCAAGAACCCTGCCGGGCTCTTGCTACAGTTCAAAAGTGGAAGCCCCACAGGGAGTTGTGGAGCCAGCGGGGGACTCCCCCACTAGCGCCGTGGGGCTTCCTTTTGAAATGTACAAGAGCCCTGCCAAGGCTTCTGTACATTTCAAAAGAAGAATCACAGCAGAACTGGCGTGCGCAGACACTGCTTTACTGTCCACTCGTGCCATTTCCTCTGTACCTCTACCTCCCCTGCCCCCCATGGAGACAGTGCTGGGGGGAACTGGCTTAGCAGCCGGCTCCCCCAAGCACCAACTCCTGCTCCCCCACTTGCTGCAGCTGGCTCCCCCAAGCACCAACTCCTGCTCCCCCACTTGCTGCCTCTTTTAGAGGCATCAAGAGGAGGGAAGCGACTAGTCACATCACTAGTCATAGAATCATAGAATACTAGGACTGGAAGGGACCTCGAGAGGTCATCGAGTCCAGTCCCCTGCCCTCATGGCAGGACCCAGTACTGTCTAGGCCATCCCTGATAGACATTTATCTAACCTACTCTTAAATATCTCCAGAGATGGGGATTACACAGCCACCCTAGGCAATTTTATTCCTGTGTTTAACCACCCTGACAGGAACTTTTTCCTAATGTCCAACCTAAACCTCCCTTGCTGCAGTTTAAGCCCATTGCTTCTTGCTCTGTTTTTAGAGGCCAGGAAGAACAAATTTTCTCCCTCCTCCCTGTTAACACCCTTTTAGATTCCTGAAAACTGCTATCATGTCCCCTCTCAATCTTCTCTTTTCCAAACTAAACAAGCCCAATGCTTTGTCTTCCTTCATAGGTCATGTTCTCTAGACCTTTAATTATTCTTGCTGTTCTTCTCTGGACCGTCTCCAATTTCGCCACATCTTTCTTGAAATGTTGCGCCCAGAACTGGACACAATACTCCAACTGAGGCCTAATCAGTGCAGAGTAGAGCGGAAGAATGACTTTTCATGTCTTGCTCACAATACACCTGTTACTGCAACCCAGAATCATGTTTGCTTTTTTTGCAACACCCTGTTGACTCATATTCTCTTGTGGTCCACTATAACCGCTGGATCCTTTTCTGCATTACTCCTTGCTAGATAGCTGCTTCCCATTCTGTATGTGTGAAACTGATTATTCCTTAAGTGGAGCACTTTGCATTTGTCCTTACTAAACTTCATCCTGTTTACCTCAGACCATGTCTCCAATTTGTCCAGATAATTTTGAATTATGTTCCTATCCTTCAAAACCGTTGCAACTCCTCCAAGCTTGGTATCATCTGCAAACTTAAGCGTATTCTGTATGCTGATATCTAAATTGTTGATGAAGATATTGAACAGAACTGGTCCCAAAACAGACTCTGCGGAACCCCACTTGTTACTCCTTTCTAGCGGGATTGTGAACCGTTAATAACTACTCTCTGGGAACAGTTATCCAGCCAGTTATGCACCCACCTTATAGTAGCCCCATCTAAGTTGTATTTGCCTAATTTATTGAAAGAAAATCATGTGAGACCATATCAAATACCTTACGAAAGTCTAGGTATACCATGTCCACCGCTTCTCCCTTATCACAAAACTCGTTATCCTATCAAAGAAAACTATCAGATTGGTTTGACATGATTTGTTCTTTACAAATCCATGCTGGCTGTTCCTTATCACTTTATTATCTTCCAAATGTTTGCAGATGATTTCCTTAATTACTTGCTCCATTAGTAGTCGACTATCTGATAAGCATACTGGTCGCTTACATCCCTAGTCCATAGAAGTTAGTTTGAGAACATCTGTTGTAGGTCATGGCTGAATTGTTGGTGGGGCAGTATGGGAAAGTTTGTATTGCCGCGATGCTTTCCCTGTTCTGCAGACTAATGCCAGTCCCCAGCCTGGTCTTTCTGGGATCTTTTACACGCCTCTATACCATACACCACTTCATTTTTGGAAAACAATAGTGTATATTCTCAGTCTAAAAGCACCTAGGAACTATGTTCATAAAACAAGTTTTGTAATCTAAAATGTAATGGTATTTCTCAATTTCTTCAACCAGATATACATGATTCAGTTTTTAAAATCTCAATTATAATACACTTGTTTTGCCAGGGAGTGTCCCTCACAGCTCAGAGAGCGGCTATTGTTGTGGGAGTGGAGCTGCCGGTCTATGATCTCACCAAGAAACACATAATTATGTCTGGACTGATGGGAGACACTGTGTATACTCACTTCCTGTAAGTCTGAACAAGCATAAGAGTTACGTTTTCAAAAATCTAGATGTATGATTACATACCCTTTCAGAGTAGAAATTCATTTCTTAATGTTGGAGTCTACAGAGGATGTACTTCTCGTATTTTTTTTCTCACTGTCAGTTGAGATGTAAAGACATCTGTTAGGTCTAAATGTTTCTCTGTAGTAGTTTTTCAAATGATAGCTCATGCCATGGAAGCCAATAGTCTTCTGTGGTACTTACATGTTTTTGGCCTATATAAACATTTCTATGCTCCTAAATACCTGTAGATGAGTGTAAAGGGTGGATTTTTAGTGTGAGGTTTCTTCCTGATTGTTACTCTGAAGTTTAACAAAGTAAGGCCTGTGATGTATTTTCTTCAGATAAATTAACTGAAAAAATAGTTAACAGAAATGCAAACACAACTTTTAGTTATATCACAGATATTTTTAATTTTTTCAGGTGTGTTTTTCTTTATTTCGAAACTGCTGGTCATGTTTTTTTTATGATGGTTTATCTTTCATTAGTTCAAGCTTTACCTGTGGATTAGCTGGAGCACTTGCATCAAATCCAGTTGATGTTGTGAGGACACGGATGATGAATCAGAGAAGATTTCAAGATGGGACACATTCAGGGTATAAGGGTACTTTGGATTGCTTGTTACAGGTAAGTACAAAGTGTATAGCAACTAGTGATAACATTTATACAATCTTTGGTATCAAACAAATTAGTGTTTTTCTGCATTGTAGGTAGAAATTGTTAGCTGTTTTAGAAAACCAGTTGTAGAGAACTCTGAATAATGCATTTCAACATTTGAACTTGCTGTGCCACATGCATGTATCTTTCAAAATTTTAGACTCAAATCATGCCCCCTCTCTCCTACCTTCTTCTGTTTAAAAATCATTCTGAGTGCTGATAGGAAGCAAGGAGGTCTGCCTGCATCATAGATTCATTCTTGCTAGTATTTAGGTTAGGTTGACTAAAGGGGAATTTTTCTGATGTGAACACACTTTTAAAAAAAAGATACTGAAATACGTACCATTAAAGGGTTAGTTGAAATATTGGGGACAGAGAGAAATGTGAATTCTTCCCTTGAATCTGGGGGGGGGGGGGGTCTCCCAAGGCTGACAGCTCTTTAAAGCTTGCATTTGTTGTTGTGATGATGAGAGGTGTGGTGTAGCCAAAAATCAGTCTAATGGTCTTCTTTAAAAAAAAATAGAGATTTTTCTCATTTTTTACAGTTCTTGCTGCTACTTCTCATTTGCAGTAGGGATATAAGCAACTAGTCGCTTCCCTCTTTTGCTGCCTCTATCAGAAGGAGGTAGCAAGGGGGAGATGAGAGAGATGAGGGGTGCTGGGGGAGCCGGCTTAAAAGCTCATTCCCTCTAGCTCCCTGAGAGGGGGCAAGGCTGCTGCAGTGGCATTCCACCTCTGAAATGTACAAGAGTTCCTGCTGGGGCTCTTGTGCATTTCAGAGAGGAAGCCTGGCATGGAGCCTGGGGCCAGCAGGGGGGACAGAGCATTCTTCTCCCCCTCTCCTCCATGAAAGTACATTTTTTAGCAGGCTGGCTCAGTCCTGGCTTGCATTGGGACCCAGCATCAACTCCCTTGCCAGTCTCTAATGCGTATAGTGCAGAGCCACAGTGGGGGTTGATGCTGGGTCCCAGCACGAGTTAGGACTGAGCCAGTCTGCCTGCATGCCAATTCTTGGTGCTGGGATCCAGCATCAATCCCGCACTGCGGCTCTGCAATACAACTGGAGCTGCAGCGGGAGGAGTTGCTGGACCTGGCAGGAGCTAGAATTGAGTGGTGGCAGTGTTACCCCTTATCGATTAATCGAGTAGTTGACAAAATTGTTGTTGATCACATGATTAACAAATTACATGCTTCTTAACATCCCTAATTGGGATGAAGCAAGCCTGGATTGTACTTTTGTCTGAGGGGAGGGAGCTTATCCACCAGTTTGTGAAAAGGGAGTAGGAAACACAAGCAACTTTTTGAAAGGGTTATGGAAAACAAAATTAAACCTACTGTTGCTGAATATTTCTAAGTGTGGGGAAAAGATTTTTTTGAAGTCACAGATTTCTCCTTTTTTAACTAGCTCTGATTCTTAATATTATGTCTGATATTTCATGGGTTTTTTTACTGGATAAAAATAACCCCTGACTAGACCTAAATATAGTTTTTAATACCTCTTGACTAGTAAAGTTAATTAGTTCTATAAAGCTTCTGTCAGTTTGGATCATGTAACTTTAAATATGGAGCAGTGAAAATTGTCATGGTTAAAATAAGATCTTAATTTGATATTGGGAATATTTGTTGTCCTATTACTAATTCTACTAGGAGCTCATTGAGCAGCAGGCTTAAATTACACATTCCCATTAAAGGTTTTGGAGAGGTAGTCATGACTCTTTTCTTTGCCCATAAACTGGATGGGAAATAATTCTGCAACATTCCCAGTCTGAGTTGCTATGAGACATAAGACTATTACTGTGAATTAAACCAAATGTTTTCCTCCTCCACAGAACACCTTGGCATTCATCAAATAAAGTACTAGTTGTTCTTTGGGTATAATGTTTCAGTGAAACTTTTGTTTCATTCTTTCCTCATTCAAATGTGATTTTTAAATATTTGTTTCAGACATGGCGGTATGAAGGCTTTTTTGCTTTATATAAAGGATTCTGGCCAAACTGGTTGAGACTTGGTCCTTGGAATATTATTGTATCCTCTTCAGAAGTGTTTGGAAATACTTATTAAACTTGTCTGTGAAGAGCAGCGGGCATTGAGTAGACACACAATTGACTAGTGAATTGTACTTCATATGAAATATTTGTAACTTGTCAGTGTAAAAAATTTAATCTCCATCTCTTTATAAATGGAGTACTATTGGCATCTAATATATTAATATTCTCTAAGATATACACAAAATTGAATCTCTGAATATAATCTTTTTCAAAACACTTTTTCCTTTAGCCCCCAATTTCTCATTGCATGTTTTTATATTGCTGTTTAGTTGATGTAATAGTGACCAGGTCAATTAGCAATTGCAGATGATCAAGATTTTTAACACCACTTTTCTACTATTATATAACTTGTATAGTAGACCATTTGCTGTCTGATTAGCCTTAAGTTCTCATTGCTTTGTGAGAAGCTAAGAGGCAGCTGTGATATTCCTTTCTTTCTTCCCACAAATGAGAATCTGCATACCTTTATAGTTTCAGCCACTAAGAAGATAAGAGCAAATATAGTGGGTTCCTCTCCTGCTGTGGCCTCTGACCTTTCCCCAACTATAACTTGCATGTTTAAAGTGCTTGGGCTAGAACTTGTGGAAGGATTAGGCTGCTCTAGGAGGCACATTCTACTTGTAAGAGTGACATGCACTGAAATAAGTTTCTCTTTTAGCAGTTTGCTATGATTATTATTTAGATATTTTTCTCTGTGCCAAAGACTCTAGGGAACATTATAGTAACTGCCAGAGTGGAATGACCTATCTTGTGGTGGTGAGGATGAAGGGAGACATTTAATGACAGACCAAAGTTCCAAAAACATACAGTCAATAGTTAAGGGAATGCAGTAAGTATTATGCATCACAAATACGTTAAAACCAAAAAATGCAAATATCTGCACTTGTTTTCCTTGACCAGTTTCACCAGTTCTTTTTGACGTATGAACAGCTGAAGAAATTGGACTTCTGAAAGATGCTAATTGTTAAATTAGTAAACTGTGCTGACATGGTATCTGAAATCAAAGCCTCTTTTAAAAAAATGTTCTTCAGTGTTTTCTCATCAGAAAAAGGTCATCAGAAAAACATTGTAAATCAAGACCACACACAAAATGTCAAATGTGGATGCTTAACTGATCTGCCAAACACTGTGCACCAATTACTGAAGTGGAACCTAAAGTTGGCAAAACTCCTATCATCTGTTTAAATGCTATTGGACATAATGTATGATATAACCCCAAAGGTTTTTCTGCTGAAATGTACATCTGGATGAGTTCTTAATAGGAAAAGAGCTACAACGTTTGTCTAGAGGTAAGTAGGTAATGGAAGAGCCTCACTCTTGTCCATGTTCATAAAACGTAATGTATTAATGTCATAAATATTTTATTACATTCTGACATTTTCAGCGCATTGGAGTTCAAATGTATGATGCTGAAAATGTTGTTCCCAGTGATACTCAGTCTTTGTAAAAATATTTGTTAAAAGAACTTCTGGATTCAGAGCACATTTCTGTTGCTTTTTTATCATTTAAATGTATATGTAACTTATATTAGGAGCAAGGGAGCTGCAACTTAACATAACTTGTAATGTCACCATTTTGCATGATTGAGAAGTCTGTCATTTAAGACACCTTTTTCTTGTTCAATAGAACTCTAATGTGGTTCACCAAGAAATATCTGTGGACTTTTTAAAAAAATTAATAGAGCATTCACTCCCATTTTCCTTTTGTGTGTAAGGGAATTAATTTTTTAGTACTTGTTTGGCTCTTATGAAGAGCTTTAAGCAATTACTGGCTATCACGTCTGAAAGATGCGTGCCACGTATTGCAGCAGTTGAACCACTGAGACCTCAAGAAAAGCAGACGCTTGCATACATCCCAAAGATGTATTACTACCTTCCTAAACAAGAATTATAGTAGAATTGTGCTCATCCCTGTTGTTTTCTTTCAGAAAAATGAGTCAGTCAAGGTTACTTAAATACTACTTTTTTAAAGAGCAGTGAGCGTTGATGACTCTGCAGGATTTACTTTTGAGTTGTGCAACAAAACATGTTGCCATAAATTGAAGAACTAATATCATGATTATTATATGGATGCAATTTATTCAGTTATAAAAGCATGGGGAATGTGTGGTGTCTAAGTGAAGAATGCTTATTATGCATCACTGCACTTTGCCATGTAAGGTCATTACAGTGTACAGTTGTGCTGTATGGTGATTTCATCTAGATACATTCATTATCAATATCTGCATATTCATACATTCCACTTAAAACAATTCATGTTCTATTGTGAATTTCACTCTTAGCATTTCAGTGTTTAAATGGCTAATTTCAAGATGCACAAAGTAGGTATTTTTAAATGCACAAGGCACTTTTCTTCTGAAAATATCAAGAGTTAAGGTAAAAGCATAACTTTTCAAATGCTTTGAATGTTTAAGGTAAAAATTATGTTGCATAATTATGCTCAGAGAATGCTGTCTGTGTTACTGCAATTCTTAAGCTTTTGTGTAGAAATGGTTGTAAAATATTTTTGTACAGAATGTAAACCAAAATTACGGATGTATAACAAACTTTTAGAACGAGTAATATGCATTGCCCCAAATAGAGGGACACTTGCTTACAAATAGAACCTAAGGATTGTTCTGAGGCATTTGGTGGAGTGTACTTGGGATGGGTCAGTAAAGGAGAATTTTTGCTGATAATGCAAACTGTGTATTGTAGTTCATCATTATTTAGCTACATTAAAATTAGGTTACTGTATCTAGAAAAAAATATTTCAGATGGCCTCAATGGGCTAATAGTAACAAAAATCACATGGGAAGGTCAGACAAGCTAATTCACTTCCAATTTCACAGGCCTGCAGACCAAAGGGCTTCATGATAGAAAGGTCAGACTGTCCTCTGGATGTTGAGAACTTAACACCAGAGTCTTTTATCCTAATTGGAATGACTTTGTTTGGAAAGGGTTGCTGTGGGGAAAAATGATAATCCTGACAGCAACTGTGAGTGTTTAGAAGCTTTCCTAGTTCTTCATGTCCCTCTTGTCCCAGTGTCCTTGATAGAGAAGAATTATTGTTTCCCAACCTCTTCTAAACCATAAATCTGTTACAATAGAAAAGTGTTTGGATCACCTTCCCATCTAACTATAAACAAAAGGAAAGGTGTTTGCAGTTTCCCAAAGTAAGAACCCATCCCACAGATACTGAAAACACTGGCCCACAATCGTAAATGCCATGAAGACCTCAAAATAGACTTGTCCAGTAACACCAGGACTCTTAAGCTACGTTTCTTAAGGAAAAGTCTGTGGAAAATTTTAAGCTAAGTTAAATGTTTGAATTTATCAGTTGTAATTGTACTTACATCTACATACGAATAGTATGAGGTTCTTGCGGAGATGCTCTATTTTGTGCTAAGACTGTAATGTTCAGTGCTTCCTAATATGCAGAATAGGAAGGCTACCCCAATCCACTGTACCAGAAAGCTGAATTTGTGGGCAGAGTGTATGCAAGTCTGTTACGACATTTGCAGTAATATTCACCACCTGCCAAATGACACTACTAACCATTCATGCTGCAACTTGTAACACTGAAAGGGATATGCAAATATTAAGACAATCCAAGTAATTCTTTTTATGCCAAATATCATTTAATGAGACGGAGACTCATAGAATTGCATAGCTTTGTTTTTCATGCTAGGTCATATCTCTGTGTTCTGACATATTGAACATTAGCTTTGTTCAACCCAATTTGTTACTGCTGCGCATACATTTATTGTGCTAATAAAATTATTTATTCATGTAGAATGTTACAGGAAATTGTTTTTATGCTTTGAGTTACTGTTGTTCACATGCCTTATCTGCATGGGAAAATGTCATATCTCAGCATAATAAATACATGTGGGGAGACTGTAAAATGTTTTGGCCTGTACAGATCTAAAATAAATTTTTACTTGAAGTCACTTGGCATGGTTTTTGTCTGTTTCAACCAATACTTATTGCCAGGGCTCACCAAGCAGCAGCGAGCCTTGCTCACTAGCTGCGCGGTTCTGCGAGCTGCACATGCGCAGGTCATGCGGCGCCGGATGTGCTGGCTTGTAATCTACTCGCCACGGGCAAGTAGATGATATGATTTATCGAGCCCTGCTTATTGCCCTTATTCCTAAGAGTGAAAAGGAATTACAAAGTAAAATGTAGATTTCTACCAACCTACTGATATATTGAAAGTTTAACTATTGTCTTTTACAGTGTTTTTTTTTTTTAAGTCCAAACTCTCTTAAAGTACAGAGGTGCTGTGGCAGAAGAAAGCCGGCATGTAAGGCTGTATTTTTAAATGTACATAACATGCCAATTTGCATCTAGCTGGACTTTAGAGTGTCCCCCCCTTCTTTGCTGGGAAATTCCAGCAGCTGATGACAATTGCCACTTTTGTCTCCTTTCTCCCATAAAATTATTTTGGATAGGCTTGGGGAACCACAGCCTTGCTACAGACTTGGAAGGGAGCAAACATCATCCAGGTAGGATGGTAAAGAAAGGGGATGTGATAGGCTGGGTGGTCAATTCGGAAGCAGCTCAGGGTATGTCTACACTGTAGGGCTTTCCCGGATAAACGGCCATTTTCCCAGACAAACTACACTTATGTCCATGCTGCTGTTGCATACTTTTGACAAAAAGTCAGAAGAACAGAGGGCTTTTTCTGACAGCAGTAAACCTCTTTCTATGAGGAAGAAGTCTTTTTTTTCCAAAAGAGCTTTTTCTGAAAAAGGCATGTGTGGACACGGAAGTGGGTATTTTCGAAAGAAGAGGCTTCCAGGAAATAACATAGGTTCCCTGGTGGCCACTCCATCCAAAGTAATCAGAACTCTATAGTTCCTGTCTCCTGTCAGCTCTTAAAGCTGCAGGCACTTAGGACAAGCCTTGTGGCAGGAAGCTAACCCTGGGAGCTGCACCTCGCTGCACAGCTCTCCCACGCATTCTGAGCAATGGCCCAGCCTCAAGACCCCTGAGGACCCTCCCCCCCGGCCTTCCCAGGAAGCAACACCAGGTTCCCAGGACCCAGCCAGGGGCAGTAACGCTGTGCACCCTCCTGGTCTGGAGCAGAGACCCTGTTCCTCCTTGAGCTGTGGGGGAAGGAGACGACCCTAGGATCTCTGCTCCCAGTGCAGAAACACCGACATCTATAGCCGAAAGGCCGAGGTCTGGGCAGAGAGGGTACGCATTGGAACAGGTTTGGAATAAGGTGAAAGAACTTTGCCAGGACTACCAGTGCTAAGGAGTGCCACCCACAGCACAGTCATGTGAGGCACCACCTGCTCCCACAGACAGCACTGGGGGCTGTGTGTGTGTGTGTGTGTGTGTGTGTGTGTGTGTGTGT